TTGAAAGAATTGAAGAATTGAATTTCCAATTAAATTCTGTATAAAATTTACAATTAAAACAAAACACCCTGCAAGAGTTTCAGGGTTTGAGAGTCTGAGGGTTTTTTTAAATTATTATAAAAATTAGAATTGAATTGGAAATTCAATTCTCTACAAAATCCATTCTGTAACTTTTGTTCATTAGCTCACAGTTTAAAAAAAAAAGGTTGAAGGAGATTTTTTTTTGCAGAGAATTGAATTTCCTATTAAAAAATGTCTTCTAACATTTTCTCTAAAAACCCATCATTTCTGAGATAATAAACAAAATTGACTAAAAAATCATCTGACATTTTTGTAGACAATTGAATCCCCACAAAAAACGTCTCTTGACTGATTCCCCCAAAAATGGAAAAATTCTCCAGTCCTTCCTTTTTTTAGAGAAAATGTTAAGAGATTTTTTGGAAGAATTGAATTTCCACTTCCATTCTCTACAAAATAAAATTTGTCAGTTTTGTTTATTATCTCACAAATAACATTTTTTTTTTGAAAAAATTGTTAAGACATTTTTAGAATTGAATTGAATTGCAAATTAAATTCTCTATAATTTTGTCAGTTTTGTTTGTTATCTCAGTGATGTCAGGTTTTTATGAAGAACGTTAAAAGACATTTTTTGTAGTAAATTCAATTCTCTACAAACAATGTCGTTTAACATTTTTTCGAAAACCCTGTCATTTCTGGAATAATTAACAAGACCAAAAAATCATCTGACATTTTTGTAGATAATTGAATCCTCACAAAAAATGTCTCTTAAGGCATTCCCGAAAAAATTCAAAAAGTCTCTCAATAAAATCCCCAACTCTTCCATTTTTTTTTAGAGAAAATGTTTGTAGAGAATTTTTTGTAGAAATTCAAGTCTCTGCAATTTTGTCAGGTTTGTTTGTTATCTCAGAGATTATAGGTTTTTAGAAAAAATGTTGGAAGACATTTTTTGTCGAGAATTGAATTTCCTACAAAAGATGTCTTCTAAAAATCTGTTCAAAATTTTCTCTAAAAACCTGTCATTGCTGAGAAAATGAACAAAATTGACTGCAAAACTCATCCGACATTTTTGTACAGAATTGAATCCCCACAAAAAACGTCTCTCGACGCATCCCCAAAAAATTTTAAAAATCCTGCATAAAATTCTCCAACTCGTCACTCCTCAACACAATTGACGACTCACCAGCCGTAGACAGTGTAAAAAAAATAATAGATGTAAAAAAAAAATACAGTGTGAAGGTTTCAGGTGAATGTGAGACACCTACGGTCTACCTCGGCATGTTTTATAATGTCCATAATTATATGCGACGTTGCACAATCGGACGTCGGGAGGGTTATCGCTGCGAAAGACGGGGAAGGGGGGAAAGGCCTCCCGTGGACTTGATCCACTATTCCAATGGATAAATGATGTCAAGTGAAAGCGAACGCTGTGTTTGTTATTATCAATGCAATTCTTTCTTAATCGTCCCGCGAAGCGGGAGGGAAATGTAACTTTGCGCCCGCCGAGACGGAAATGAAAAAACATGAAATATGAAAAATTATAGAATTGATGATTTTTTATGGGAAAAAAATTGAAAATTGACTGTTTTTCATTTAATTTCATTTTTGAAATTTAAAAATTCATGGAAAAAAATTAATATCCCCTGGAATGCATTCTCGGAAAAATCCCCATCCGTTGATTTTGATTAATGCAATTCTTTCTTCATCTTCAACAATGAAGTTTCTCAATTTACTTGTAATATCAAATACTAAATAATTTTTCTGAGCAAAAAAAAATTATCTCAGGGCAAAATTTCAATTTTTTCTCTTTTTAAAATGAAACAAATGATCAATAATTAATTATAAAAATATTGAGATGAATATAAAAATGAAACAAAAAGAGATGAAATATTCAAAAAGACAGAATTGATGACTTTTAATAGAAAAACAAGTGGGAAATTGATCTTGTATTCAAGCCATCATTCAATCAATTCAGAATATTTTTTTCAGGTATCGCGGGACAATCGATTTTCGAAAAAATTCAAAAATTAAAAAAACTAATCGCTGAATTGAATTTTAATTAATGGCGAGCGATAGGGCTCAACAATACCTCCATTTGAAAAAAAAGATTCAATTCCCTTCATTCATTCGATATAACACAAAAAATCCAAAACTTAAATTTGAACGGCCACAAAGTTTCCACTCGAGAGTAAAAAAATGCCAGTTTTTCATTCAACTTCATTTTTGAAACTTGAAAATTCGTCGAAAAAAAAATTTATATCCCCTGGAATGCATTCTCCGAAGAATCCCCGTCCGTTGATTTTGTACCCGTATACCTCGGACTGGTCCTGAAGGGCCGTTTGCCTCAAAATTCCAGACAAAGTAGCCTCTCCCCGGGGCAGGATGCGTTGTGTTGCCTGGCAGCCTGTTGCCGTGTCACTCTCCCTCCACCACCTCTCTCTCTCCCTCTCTTGCCCATCTATCCTCATCCCCTCTGGATTTTGCGTCTTTTCCTCTTGCACGCACGTGTCTGCCTCAACTGCACGCACTGCGCTTCACCGAAGACCGTGAAGGCATTCTCAGTCTGTCTCGAAATACCCACCAACCGCACCGCCAGGGCCCTCTCTCACGTAGGTGGCATTGCCCCTCGGTCTGTCTCACACGTGTATTCATCAACTTATTCCCCGAATTTGCCTATCTCTTTTTGAAAACAGGAAACGAAAGAAAAAAAAGTCAATAAAAATCATTATCTTGAAAACACAAAATTGTTGTTATAAACAATCGACGATATCTCGTAAACCTACAGTGATACAACAATAAAACCGGTGGGTTTCGAAAGATCGGAAAGTTTCCGGTTCAAAACCCTGGTCACAAACCCATTTTGCCCCACTACTTCTGTCTATCTTCTATGTAAAGAAGCCATTTTCGAGGCGACGTGGTCCATGCCCTTTTCAGTTCATCTAAAAAACCGCAAAATTGTGAAAAAGGTGAAAGTCAACATCTCGCAATTTGCAAATGTTCCAGTAATTTCTGTTTATTTAAATAAAAATGATAATTTCAGGGTGAAAATTACCCAGACGTGCATTTAGGTAATGACAGACGTTAAACATCGATCAGTTGGCTAGTTCATTTCAGCATCTAACGAGGGTTATTATCATTGTAAACTCTGGAAAGCCTAATGTGACGGTTGAGTTTAACGTTTATCCCTCGTTAATCATCGGTAAGCGATCGATCTTTTGAAATGACAAGATACATGGAAATGGGCCCGTCTAGTTGACCTTCACGTGGAGCCCAGTCGTATACCGATTTCGTGTCGATTTTTTTTCGCCATGAAACGGCTCTTTGCGCCTTTTACCCAAGGCACTAACCCCAAAATGGTTTCTAATGGTGGGGGGGGGGGGGCAAGGGACAAGGGGAAAGAGTAAAACCACTACCTACCTGCCACTATTCGCTGTTGAAACGCCATTTCGTGTGGCCGAAATGTGCGAAGAAAGACTTGACCTTATTTTTTTTTTCGTTTCGTACATTCGACTCGCCAAATACTTTCTAATAATGATCATGGCATAGAAAAAATGTGTGTGGGAAAGAATTTTGGGGGCCGGGTATCTATGGAAATTTTTTAGGTCAAAGGAGTGAGCAAAAGTAAGGAGGTTAACGGCGAATTTTTTTTTGTTGGGGTTTTGAGGTTAGTTTGAACGAATACGAATTCCTCGGGATGGCGGGGTCGGTTTTTGATGGGGAGGCGGGGAAATTTTCGATTCAGGTCTGGATTGATGAGCCCATTTTGCCATTCGGGCTTAAATTAATTAATTAAAATTGTTTTTTTGCTGGAATTAAACGAGTAATGAGGCAAGATGGGCTTCCGCAGTAAGTATATGGGAGTAGAAGGAAATGAACTGCAGAGCTGAAATTTTGGGAATAGATTCTTTGAGTGATTACAAATATCATCCCGGAGTCCCAATACGCTGAATCACGTAGATTGTTGAGGAGAAAATATGAAAAATGTGTCATCAACACAGAGTCTTATGGCACCACTTTTTCAAAAATCACAAAAAAATGATCAACAGTGGAATAAAAATCCAAACGCTTTACGAATGGAATCGTATATATTTCAGGAACATATCCCCACAATTTCATTAGCCGTCACCACAGGGATTATTTATAATTATTGAAAATGTACGGCATAGTTTGGGATTTTAGTTAAGTTAGAGGAAACTGATGGCTGAACATGGCAACGTTGAGGGAGGTTAGAGTGCACGCGGCGGAGACCATCGTGTGAACTCCGCCAAGGCATATCTATAGTACATTATAGGATTCTATCGGGACACAAGAATACCAACTGCGGCGAACAAAAATGCGTGGTTATCAAATCTCTCATGAAAATTTTTATTTGTTCAAAAATTCGGATAAATAATATTTCGGAATAAAAATTATTTGGAATTGATTAATCATGAATAATAAGTGCAAAGAAACCCAAATGATAAAATTTCAATACATCCGGGAACTTTTCATTTCATAGCCGTTGGTATTTTTCCCCATTTCATAGCCCCAAAATTTACTGCGAAAGTTCCTTAAGGTACATGTTGACTTTTTTCACTGTCGATTTTGAGGTTAGTTTGAATAAGCGGGGATTTCTCAAAAGGTTGAGGTCGGAATTAGATGAGTTTAGGCACGTTGGAAAGAACGGGAAATTTCCGATCCAGTTCACTACTATTAAGTTAATTTTGCTTTATTGGTTTTTTGAATATTTGAGAAACTTGAATTTTCACTCGAAATCGTTTTTTGGTTGTTATTAAAGAAGTAATGGGGCAGAATGGGTCGTCATATTGAGTTTTTCAGCGGAAATTTCCCTGGCTATCCAATGAGACTACTCTCGATCCCCTCCACTAAATTTTTCCTGTAATGAAGCCTGAGATTTTGATGTTAATTAGACTAAATAGAAGTTTTTGTTCGGTTATTGAATACGAAACGAGTACTTACGCCTGTCTTATTTTTTCTTTCAGACTGGGCCGTTTCGTACCGAGCAAAAATGAAGACACGAGGTATATAAATTTATATATCCTCTCATTCTCTTTAAAATTTAATTTCAATTTTTTTCTAATTCATTCCTTTCAACTTTGCAAAATTGAGAAGTAGAGTAAAGAGTCGCTGAGTTCACGAGTGAGTGAGTGAGTTCAGAGTTATTCTCAGATGTGTAGAGTAGCAGATACGTTAAATGATAGTCTGCGCATGCGTTCGTGGAATCTTTGTTTAACCTATCTTAGCCAAGTGTCGTCAGCGGTTAGCAGCTGTTTCCATTCAGCGGTCGCCCTTTCTTAGTTGGCAACTTCCTCTGCCGGCGAGTTTGATGAGGACCATTGAATAGTCAAGGAAATTTCCGTTGAAAAAGTTATATGATGATCTATTTTGCTCCATCATTGAAATCATCATCTCCAGCGGAAAAATTCATTATTTCGATGATCTGTTTCCGGGAGATGAATTTTGATGGAAAAGAAAATAAATTTCGACATCATCATCGAAAAGCCAGGGAAAAATGAGTTGGATAAGTCAATATGACGACCCATTTTGCCCCATTATTAACAAAGTTCCAGGGAAAAAACGATTTCGAAAAAAAAATTTCGAAATCGTTTTTCCGCTGGAACTTTTGAACTACTGGGGCAAAAGAGGTCGTAATATTGAGTTTTCCAGCTGAAATTTCCCTAGCTATCCAATCGAGTGATTCATTTTTTTCAATTGTTGGAAAATTGAAAGCGTTAAAAATTGTGATATAATTGTGTCAATGATGGATGTTCTCATTCATGCCTCCCTTTCTTAGTTACTAACTTCCTCCCAGCTGTCGAGTTTGATGAAAGGATTATTGGATAGTCAAACACGAAGACATTCTGCTGGAGAAAACTTGATAAATCCTCATTTCTATAATCTGTATTCGGAAAAGATGAATTTGACCTAAAAGAAAAATGAATTTCGACCGCACCTTTGGAAAGCCAGGGAAAAATTATCCGGAAAAGTCAACATGACAGCCCATTTTGCCCCATTATTAACAAAGTTCCAGCGAAAAAACGATTTCGAAAAAAAAATTCGAAATCGTTTTTCCACTGGAACTTTTAAATTACTGGGGCAAAAGATGTCGTCATATTGAGTTTCGCAGCTGAGATTTCCCTGGCTCCCCACCCAAGTGATTCATCTCACTCAATTGCCGGAAAATTGCAACCGTTAAAAATTGTGATGTCATCGTGTCAACAGCTGTTTTCATTCATGTTGCCCTTTCTCACTTGGCAACTTCCTCCTGCGGGGCCAAGACTTTTAATAACTCACGTTATTCACGAAGTGGGGGGAGATTTCACGTCCATTCATCACATAAAATTGTTGAAATATCTTTCACGTTGGATACTGAAGTAGGAAATTGAATGTAAATCACAGCTCGACGACGACGTAATGCTAACTCACACCGACTGGTCACGTTTTCCACTGAAATGTGTCTCATGGTTAACGTGAAAATGTCACGTACGATATTATATGTATATCTGAAATTTACGGAACGTTGCTGCGAGGTAAAACAATCCTCTGATTTTTTACAATCACATTTTCCAATTCCAGGAAATTTATTACAAAAAAAATAACGCTTGAATTATTTCATTTCAACTACCGTTGAAGCCACATGGTTTGCAATAAGAGGAAAAATTTCGATACGTATTAGTCTCTATGAAGAACGCTATCGTTTGAAGAAGAAGAAAATGAGAGTTCAAGAGAAAAATCTTCGTCGAATGAAGGAACAACGTAAGTTAACCTGACACATCAAGCTGTTTTAGCTAATTTGTTCCCTCGATAAATCATTAATAGACTCCGCAAGACTGAAAATCATTTGATTGATTGAAAAATGAAATTCAGAAATTTATAATTGATCGCTCAATATTTAATAATTGAGAGTTAAAAATTATTTTCAACTTTTAATAAAAATCAGTGAACGTTAATTAATATGAGGTAAACTTGCTTTAATCCCTGCTAATGAGAGGAAAAATTCTTCAGCTAAAACTTAACTGATAATGGGACAAAATGGATGGTGATATTGAATACTTCACCTGAAATTTCACTGACCATCCTGTGGGCTAATTTTCGGCGTTATCTCTCCCACTTCAATAAACGCCCAATGAGAAATACCCATAAACGCTGTGAATTCAGGCCTGAGGTCATTTCCCTTTGATTTACATTTTCCCAAATCATTACCCTAACGCGGAAATTGACTCAGCCAGCCGGCGTGTTAATGAACTAATGGTCGATTTTTGGGTAAGTTCATTAGGAGAAACAATCTAAACGAGAGGAAGTCGCCAGTGCGATTAAACAGTCCGTTCAATCGTTGACACTCGGCGCATGCGTCACCCACTCTTTTGACTGACCAAGGATCCAATTAGGACTCGTTAGGCAAACCGATGTGCCACAAAGCATCACTCGTCGTTAGTACTGACAACTTGGACCGAAAATTGTACCCCAGACCCAGTCGTTCAATTCAAACACGAGGGTCAAAATATGGGTCGTAATGGTCACAATAAGGGTCACGAGGATTAGATTAAGGGTCACAAGTGTCAGATTAAGGGTCAGGAGGGTGAGAAGAAGGTTCACAAGGGTCGAATCAAATTTTCAGAGGAAAAACAAGTGGACAAGTTGATGCGACCGGAATCTCTGTAAATTATAAAAAACAAAATCGACTTCTGGTGATAGAAATATAGTACACGAAATGAGGACTCCAAAATTAAGGGTTACAAGGTCATGAATAAGGTTAGAATATTAAGGGTCATGGGGGTCAGAATAAGGGTCACGAAGGTCAAACTGAGGGTCACAAGGGTCGGATTAAGGGTCATGAGAGCTAGAATAAGGGTCACTAGGGTCCGATTAAGTGTGACAAAGGTCAGAATAAGGGTCGTATGGGTCAGATCAAAGGTCGCAATATAATGAGGGTCACGAAAATCAGATTAAGGGTCACAATGGTCAGAATAAGGATTATGGAGGTCAAATAGGGGTTGCTGAGCGGACCGAGCCGGGGGCGTAACCTCCTCATCATCAAGAATTAAAAAAACGTATTTCAGCCTTCAATTAAATTTCATTGCTAAATTGCATTTGAAAAAATTGTCACGTATTTCTCTCTCTCTCCACCAGATTTTTTTTTTCGTAAGACTGCAAATATATTACCAAACGTACGTAAGACGTCTATACAGAGCGGAGTACCCGCTTTAGCCCGCCCGCTGACCCATTTGTGAAATTTGCCGAGACTCGACGCGACGCTTCGAGACCCACACAAACCAACGGAACACTACACTGTTGAGGTGAAAAAAGAAATTTCAGGGGGGGAGAGAGAACACTGGGCTTACAACACTTCATGAAATTACTCGCGAGGTTTCGAGTGTGCTTTAACGTTTTCTTTATTCCTGTGGCCACTCTACCATTAGCAACGTACGAAATTCGTAATGAAATTTAGTTGGCCCCCTTTTTTTGTCGGTGGCCTTGGGACAAACTCTTCCACCCGAGGCCATGGAGAATCAATTTCAAATGCTCGAGAAGTTAATTTCTAATTTTATTCAGCGATTTCTTTCTTTGAAATCAGATTTGATTAATTTTTTGGGATTGATGTTTTTGAATGGCGGGGAGGGCGGCGAGAGCGGCGAGAGTGACCCCAATCAATAGCCAGGGAAATTTCCGCTGAAAAAGTCCGTATGACGACCCATTTTGCCCCAATAGTTCAAAAGTTCCAGCGGAAAGAAATTTCCGAAAATGTTTTTTTGCTGGAACTTTGTTGATAATGGGACAAAATGGGTTGTCATATTGACTTTTTCAGCTCATTTTTTCCGGGCTAACTAGTGGTGCAAAACTTGATTGTCCTTTCGATTTTCGAAATGTAAAAAAATGCGAATTTCCGAAATGGAAAGTTTTTTCGCTAGAACTCTGTCGATAGAGAGGCAAAACAGATTGCAATGTGGAATTTTTTTCAGCGGAAATTTCCCTGGATATCCAACGGAATGGTTTTTGTCAGGCATTTATGAAGGGGAACTGGCGGGAAAAAATGTGAAAGGATTTTTTCAGCATCTTTTTTTTTCTTTCGATGAAAGGAGGAACCCCGTCCCCTTCGGAGCATCTGCCTGTTGTCTGACGAGCACTCGACGCTTTCGCAACTACTGTGCGTGAATAGTGTAATATCTTCGGAGATGGTGAGATGGAGAACCTTCAATGCCATTTTTTACGGCTGACATTCTATGGAATATTGACTCTGAAGGGATCGAAGGAAGTTGAGATGGTTATTTTGAATACTAGTTCTCTCAGATTCGCTATTCCTTTATTTGCTTAATTGTTTATAATCATTTTCATTGCAAAAGCAATACGACCAATGATAATGATATGTCCCAATTTATCAGCTGTTAAATTTTCATATCACAATAGATGATTTCCTCATGTTCTAATTCCTCTGCTCACTGAATAAGATTTTAATCATAATTACAATTCAGTTCCTTCTAGAACACACTTTAGAGTGTGAATTTTTGGAATTCAATGTTTGTTGATACTCAGGTAAAAGTGCGTGCCCACACTGTTATCAATTTTTAGTTAGTTCACACAGTAATTCAATTAATCTGTTGTTCATCTCATCAATATAATTCCGTGCTTAGAATATTGTCATCTCGTGTTTTCAACACCAAATTAAAAATTAAAACTTCATTTGGAATATTGAGTCACAGCTTCTTTTTATTCATATCAGAAATTTTGTATTTGGATATTAATATTATTTGTTCAAAGTAAAAAAATCGATCATCATTTTCACTATATTGCATTCAGATTCTCCTATCCTTAACGTCAAAAATGTGAGATAATCTCATAATTCTAGCTATTAATTCTAATCAACTTTGTTCGAAGAAAACCTTAGTAAACGCAA